ATGATGAAGGTAACATCGAGCATTTAGTTAGTAGAAGCATGTGAGTTGCTGATTACATCAAAACTAATTGCAAGTCAAACTAAGAGTGATCCTATATTATCAAAGGTTATACAGTGTCTGATATAAAATGATAAGGATGTATTGTCTGAGCAACAATACAAACCATTTACAGATGTGTGGTATGAACTGTCAGTATTACAGGATTGTGTAACAAGAAATACCAGGGTAGCAATTCCAGACCGCTTGAAGGGAAGTTGCATATCGAACACCAAGGTATTATACGCACGAGGGCAACTGCTTGTACTTTTGTGTGGTGGCCTGGTATTGACAATGACATCACAATATATGCAAGAAATTGTGAGGGCTGTGCATTGCAACAAAACATCCAGCTCCATGTAAGACACATCCTTGGGAGACACCTAGTACTCCTTGGCAGAGATTACACATTGATTTTGCAAGTCCTTTTCGAGGTCACACTTTCTTGATTGTAGTCGACTCATTTAGTAAGGGGCCTGAAGTTAAACCAATGACCTCAACAACCACATATAGCACTGTGAGAGTGCTATTGTCTCTGTTTGCAACCCATGGGATACCTGAGCAAATTGTGTCAGACAACGGACCTCAGTTTCTTTCATGTAAGTTTAAGAATTTTAGCAAGGAGTACAACATCAAGCATATTCGTAGTGCTCCATATCACCCTGCAATGAATGGTCAAGCAGAGAGATTTCTACAGACGTTCAAATCTAACATGAAATGTAGAGGCAGTAGTATATCTAGTCTCACCACCAGAATAAACAGGTTCCTACTATCATATAGAACCACTCCTCATGCGACCATAGGTTGTTCACCTTCATTTCTTTTGATGGGGAGGAGGGTGAGGTATAGGTTAGATGCAATGACACCAAAAATAGCTGAAGAACAAAAGAGTGAACCCAAGAGTGTGAAAGATTATAGAGAATTTAACATTGGAGATAAGGTATTGGTAAGATCATATACTTCAGAAGAAAAGTGGGTTGAAGGATAAGTGGTACAAAGGCTAGGATAATTGCATTACATGGTAAAAGATCATGATGGTAGAGATGAAAAGGCAGATTGATCAACTAAAGCAATCACATCTAAAGAAGGGTGTAATTATATTTCTTTCTATGCAACAGGATCAGTCAAAACAGCAGGAAAATATGGATGTTAATGTAGACCAGGAGAATGTGCCTTCACAGATATCTAAAAAGAAAGAGCTTCCGCAAAGGTCTACCAGAGATAAATTTCCGGCTAGATATGTTGATAAATACATTCTTACGGGAAAATGGTAATTGTATCTCTGTGTAAGCAAGTCACCGTGATGTGTATTAATTGTAAGCTTTGGGATAGTTGTAATACTTATAATAATTGTGATATTGTCAACTATTGTGATATTTGTGATATGTACTTATTTAGTGTGCTTTTATAATTCTCAATAATAGTATTATCTTCCATACGGGGGAAAGAAGTGTTATGTATTAACATACACTAAATGATAAATATTTACACTATAAAGTTCCTATGTATAAATTGACTAACATTTACTATCTTTGTGATACCCTTGTAACAACATGCAATCGGATTTCTATGACCTGTCAAATGTATCCCATAGCAGTGATGCATGTTACCCCTCATGGCTTAGCAACAATAAAGAACAGACATAGAAGAGACTCTCTCTACAAACCCTACAAAAAACAAGTTTATCCAAGACTTTGTGATCCCTACTTTGTCAAACGAGGATGGGAGATAACGAAGCAATGTTATACTGTTTGGGAGATAGATGAGAACATCCCCAACAAATACAATATAAAGTTGCTCTGGATTTAAGGCATAAAAATAATGATATATATATATTGATACCCTAAAGATTCATGTATAACATACAGAGTATAATTTATAATATCAACAAAATGTATCCCTAAGGAAATACTCCATGGACTGCATGATGACTAAAACGAGCTTGATGCCATTAGAAAAGAGCAATTCTTATCATTAATGTGGTCTACCTATGAAAGATTCTGCCTGCTGTGTGTAAAAACATAAATACAAGGAGTAAATCTCATGCAAAAAAGGCTTTTACTCCACTTACATATTCCATAAGTGAGGAATTATCACATCTTTGTCTTGACAATCTCCAGTGAAGGCCAAGCTTGTGATATAGGTTTGTGTTTTCTGCCTCTAGAGTCTTTTCAATAGCATTCCGAGTCTGAAATAAGGTTTTGGGATTAAAATAAAATCCTACTGTAAAGGAAATAGATGCATATATATATCACATAGTCTACAATCTCTTGTTCTTCTAAGTCCTATATTAAATACTTGGTATATGAACAACATATTTATAGACATTATACATCAAAATTACCATATGTTTCTGTTAGATATGGGAATACAGAACTTTCAAATTATCCATATTAATGCTAATCAATAAATCACATCAAAAGTTCTTTTTATCTCTGCAAGTGTTTGAGTGTGAGTGATAGTGTGAGTGATAGTGAGTGAGTGATAGTGATAGTGATAGTGTGAGTGTGAGTGTGAGTGTGAGTGTGAGTGTGAGTGTGAGAGCGAGCAAGAGAGAGAGAGCAAGAAAGAGAGAGAGAGAGAGCGAGAGAGGGCGAGAGAGAGCGAGAGAGAGCGAGAGAGAGAGAGAGAGAGAGAGAGAGAGAGAGAGAGAGGAGAGAGAGAGAGAAGAGAGAGAGAGAGAGAGAGAGAGAGAGAGAGAGAAGAGAGAGAGAGAGAGCGAGAGAGAGCGAGAGAGAGCGAGAGAGAGAGAGAGACGAGAGAGAGCGAGAGAGAGAGAGAGAGCGAGAGAGAGAGAGGAGAGAGAGAGAGAGAGAGAAGCGAGAGAGAGCGAGAGAGCGAGAGAGAGCGAGAAGAGAGCGAGAGCGAGCGAGAGAGACGAGAGAGAGAGAGGAGAGAGAGCGAGAGAGAGAGCGAGAGAGAGAGAGAGAGAGCGAGAGAGAGAGCGAGAGAGAGAGCGAGAGAGAAGCGAGAGAGAGAGCGAGAGAGAGAGCGAGAGAGAGAGGAGAGAGAGAGAGCGAGAGAGAGAGAGAGAGAGAGAGAGAGAGAGAGAGAGAGAGAGAGAGAAGAGAGAGAGAGAGAGAGAGAGAGAGAGAGAGAGTGTGTGTGTGTGTTGTGTGTGTGTGTGTGTGTGTGTGTGTGTGTGTGTGGTGTGTGTGTGTGTGTGTGTGTGTGTGTGTGTGTGTTGTGTGTGTGTGTGTGTGTGTGTGTGTTTGTGTGTGTGTTTGTGTGTGTGTGTGTGTGTGTTGTGTGTGTTGTTGCGGGTGGTGTTGCGTGGTGGTGTTGCGGGTGGTGTTGCGGGTGGTGTGCGGGTGGTGTTGCGGGTGGTGTTGCGGTGGTGTGCGGGTGTGTTGCGGGTGGTGTGCGGGGGTGTTGCGGGTGGTGTTGCGGGTGTGTTGTGGGTGGTGGGTGGTGTGTGTGGTGGTGGGTGGTGGGTGGGGTGGGTGGTGTGTGGGTGGTGTGTGGGGTGGTGTTGTGAGTGGTGTGTGAGTGTGTTGTAGGTAGTTGGTGGTGTTGTGGTGGTGGGGTGGTGTGGGTGTTGTTGTGGGTGTTGTTGTGGTGTGGGTATTGTGTGTGTGTGAGTGTGGGTGTTGGTGTGGGTGTTGGTGTGGGGTGGGTGTGGGTGTGGGTGTGGATGTGATGAGGATGTGGATGAGGATGTGGATGAGGATGAGGATGTGGATGTGGATGAGGATGAGGATGATGAGGGATGTGAATGTGGTGTGGTGTGGTGTGATGTGGGTGTGGATGTGGGTGTGGATGTGGATGTGGATGTGGGTGTGGATGTGGTGTGGATGTGGGTGTGGATGTGGGTGTGGATGTGGTGTGGATGTGGGTGTGGATGTGGGTGAGGGTGAGGGTGAGGGTGAGGGTGAGGGTGAGGGTGAGGGTGAGGGTGAGGGGTGAGGGTTGAGGGTGAGGGTGTGGGTGTGCATGTGGGTGTGCATGTGCGCGTGCATGTGCGCGTGCATGTGCGTGTGCATGTGTGCGTGCATGTGCGTGTCATGTGCGTGCAGTGCATGTTCACTGAGTGTGCGTGTGTACATGTGAGTGTGCATGTACATGTGAGTGTGTTGTACATGTGAGTGTGCATGTGTGTGTGTGTGCATATGTGTGTGCGTGCGTGTGCGTGTGCGTGCGTCTGTGTGCGTGTGTGTGTGAGCGTGTGTGTGTGCATGTGTGTGTGAGCATGTGTGTGTGTGTGTGCATGTGTGTGAGCATGTGTGTGAGCATGTGTGTGAGCATGTGTGTGAGCATGTGTGAGTGTGTGCATGTGTGTGTGTGCACGTGTGTGTGTGGTGTGTGTGTGTGTGCACGTGTGTGTGTGTGTGTGTGTGTGCACGGTGTGTGTGTGCATGTGTGTGTGTGTGTGTTGCATGTGTGTGTGTGTGTGTGTGCGTGTGTGTGCACGTGTGTGTGCACGTGTGTGTGTGTGCACGTGTGTGTGCACGTGTGTGTGTGTGTGTGCACGTGTGTGCACGTGTGTGTGTGTGTGTGTGTGCGTGTGTGTGTGTGCTGTCTGTGTGTGCATTTGTATGTGTGCATGTGCATATGTGTGTGTGCGTGCATATGTGTGTGTGCGTGCATGTGTGTGTGTGTGTGTGTGTGTGTGTGTGTGTGTGTGTGTGTGTGTGTGTGTGTGTGTGTGTGTGTGTGTGTGGTGTGTGTGTGTGTGTGTGTGCATGCATGTGTGTGCGTGCATGTGTGTGTGCGTGTGCATGTGTGTGTGTGCATGTGTGTGTGCGTGTGCATGTGTGTGTGTGTGCGTGTGCATGTGTGTGTGTTGTGCATGTTGTGTTTGTTTGTGCATGTGTGCAGTGTGCATGTGTGCACGTGTGTGCAAGTGTGTGCACGTGTGAGCAAGTGTGTGCACGTGCACGTGTGCACATGTGTGCATGTGTGCACATGTGTGCACGTTGTGCATATGTGTGCACGTCCATTGTGTGTGCACGTGTGCACGTGTGTGCATGTGTGCACGTGTGCACGGTGTGCATGTGTGCACGTGTGTCTACCTGTGTAAACATGTGTATAGGTGCATATGTTTGAGAGTGTGAGTAGGAATGAAAATGAATGTGAGTAAACATGCGAGTGAGAGAAAGTGCATGCGAGTGAACATACATGTTAGTGAAAGAGTGTGAGTGTGAGTAAGAGTAAGAGTGTGAGTGTGAGTGTAGTGTGAGTGTGAGTGTGAGTGTGAGTAAGAGTTTGAGTGTGAGAGTGTGAGTGTGTGAGTGTGTGAGTGTGTGAGAGTGAGTTTGTTAGTGTGAGTGTGTAAGTATGAGTGAGCGTGCATGTGAGTAAGCGTGGGAATCAGCTCGTGTGTGAGTGAGTATGTGCGCGACCATACATATGAGTGAGGAAATGTGCATGTGAATGTGGATGCATGAGTGAGTGCATGTTTGTGTTACTTACTTACCCTTTTACTAAGACATATCACTGGCCAGAGTGAACAACCACAGGTACAAAGACAGAAGCAGCAGCCGCATAGAAGCCATCGAGCAGACACGGGTAAAGTCTTCCTGAGCACAGTATTTACACGGGATACTGAGCCTGCAAATTCCTCCGGGGCTAATCTGCCCGTAAGTGCTGTTGGAAAGTCCCGGCAAAACCGGTTACTTAGGCCGAATCTGGAAAGGGAAATAGAATATTGTATCCAATACATACATTAGGCATTTAAATACTCTATGTAGAATTATTGCAAAAATGAAAAAAAAAGATTTTCAATATGAAAAAATAAAGAGAAAGAGGGACAGAGAATGAAGACAGGAGAAAGGGGAAATATGGAGAGGGAAGAAGGGTGGAAGAAATGGAGAGATGAAAGCAGGAAGACTGGAGAGGAGAGGAGATAGGATGAGATGAGAGATGAGAAATGAGACAAGGAGAGAGGAAAGGAGAGAGGAAAGAGGTGAGAGAAAAGAGAGAAAGAAAAGAGAAGAGAGAGAGAGGGATAGGGGGAGAGGTGGAATGAAGGCATAGATGGACAAGGAAAGAGACTACATACAATAGGCATTTAAATACTCTATGTAGAATTATTGCAAAAATGAAAAAAAGGATTTTCAATATGAAAAAATAAAGAGAAAGACGGACAGAGAATAAAGAGAAAAGGAAATGGAGACAAAGAAGGTGGAAGAAATGAGAGATGAAGGCAGGGAGACAGGAGAGGAGAGGAGATAGGATGAGATGAGAGATGAGAAATGAGAGAGAAAGGAGACAATAAGAGAAGAAAGGAGAGAGGAAAGAGGTGAGAGAAAAGAGAGAAAGAAAAGAGAAAAGAGAGAGAGGGATAGGGGGAGAGGTGGAATGGAGGCATAGATGGAAAAGGAAAGAGACAACTGACAAGAGACAATGAACAGAGATAAGAAAGAGAGAAACGATAGAGAGGAGAGACACAAAAGGAGCTATGAAACAAGCTGAGCCAGAATAGTATGAAAGTGTAGCCAGATTTCCTTCATTAATTAAGCTTGGTGAAGATATGGCAATAAGCAAAGGTCAAGTAGTTAGCCATGAGGATAGACTGGGAGAAGAGGGAAGAGGCACCCTCCCCTCCGAGGGGCTTCAAGTGGGTATCTCATATATGTGCATGGGTGGGTGTATCTCCATTTATGCATGCATACATGTGTACATAAACAAACAAACAAACACATACACACACACACGCACATGCACACGCACACGCACGCACGCACGCATGCATGTACCCACACACACACGCATGCACGCACACACACATGCACGTGCACACAGACATACACCCACACACTCACACTCTCACATTCACACACACACACAAATAGCCACAATATGGACGTAATAACAATTATAAAACCTTTATGGTCTTATTCATACTGTGGTAGTATTTCTTTTCAATCTTGTACATGTAACTGTGTTTGTACTTGTGCACACACACAGAAAGATACACACACACACATGAACATGCGAGCACACACATACACCCACACTCGTAAAGTCGCACAAAAACATTCCAGGTAGTAACTTTTATACTTTGCTGGATGTTCCTATTGTCAAAATCCTGATAATCAAACCATGCAGAAATACTGTATCTACTGGATAATCATGAACAAAAAAACAAAAAGCTACAAACTTTAAGCAACAACAGGATTTATAAGTTTGGTGTTCCTTTGCATACTGAAAATTAAACAGAGCATATATCACCTTTCTAGATAGAATTTCAGAGGTATATTTACATGCTACACAACCAAGTATCTCTTTCAGACTATAAAGCTTTATGATTTTCTAAAAGTAAAGTAAACCCTTAACCTAACTGATGTAAAAAAAATACATCAATTAACAATCTATCTTTTTAATACCCCATCAAAACAGAAGAGAAAATAAGTCTTTATTCAAACTCTATAATTTTACATCATATATCATAATTTATAATGCAAAGGCAATCATCATAAGCATTGATATCATCAAATTTTGCATCAACAATTATTTTGTTTTACAAACTTTCACATTAGTAACAAGGATCAAAACTTGTATTTAAAATGTTTTTTTTAATACATGTGATCTTTAAAGCAAGGTCATTCTAAATTAGCTAATACCCCCCATGCCCCCTCCAAACCCCTACCTCCGTAGAAAAAATACCCACCGTTCACTCCACCCCAGCTATCCAAAACCTTAGCCCTACACATGCTAAATCTATTCTATCATCATACCAGCCTAATGACCTCTTTATGATTTAGAGAATTGATGATCGGGATGATCTAAACTAATTGGCATTAATATGGATGCACAGAAGAAACAGTTTTCAGTTATGTAACCTATTTGTAAAGTAGATTGACTATGTTCATTTTTTTTCTTTTTTACAATAAGTTACAAAAATTTTAAGGGCCAAATGGCATTAACAAACAATCCTTTCCCTGCAACAGTCTATCATAATCAAAATATGCAAATGCTATTCATGCAATATAACAAGAAGCATGCCCCAACATTATTCCTAACTTCTACCAAAGGGCACACTCCATGTTAATACCATTTTCAACCATAATAATGATTTATGGCAGCTATTCATCTTTTATAAATGCAAAGCTGATTATAGTTTGCCAATTTTGTATAAGCAATGGCAATAAGTTTCATAATGTAATAAGACCAGATATGTAAAATTTAAGCTAACTCGTAACAAAACAACAAAATGGAAAAAAGGCATTCAGAGTATGCAGTAGTATATATATATAGACCCTATGCTGACAGATTTATGAATTCTGCCAAGTGGTGAATGAGCAAAGAAACCTGTTTTTTTCTTTGTTTTCTCATTATCTTCGACCATTCAGAACAGGGTTGCCTA